CCTACGCTAATCAGGGAGAGAAGAAAATATGGTTGATTCCATACATACTGTAGGTGAAGTCAATTTAACGAAAATAGATTGTTCTGGATATTTATTTACAGGGTGTCTCCCCTTGATCACCCCTGACAAGAGGGATCGTGATGTATTACGATATCCTTTATTATTTAAGAAACCAAGCCCTTAGGAATCACTTCTATGTGACATCCCTACACCTTCAGCTGTTATTCCCTCAGTGATATGCTATGTGAGGCACATCTACATTTTGACATAATACAACGTGCATTACTACTGAACATTTTAAAAGCTGCGTCTCTCTGTCAACCTAATAAGCTGGTTTACTGAATTTTAAAAAAGCCATTTTCGTGTCTGTTCAATGCCTTTTTTAATGGCAATACGTAACGAAACTTTAAAGGTAATTGTAATTACATTATTATTCATTTTTATCAGCTACCATAGAGGGTGCTGTAGTAGTTTTTTTCAAAACCCAGTGATTATTTTTCCATAGATTTTTCAGTACATATCTAAACATAACCTTTGTTGACATTAAAGACAGCGGCTGTTTGTTTATATTATATTTAATTTATATGCAATACATAAAAAAAGATACTCAGTAAAAGAACAATGAAAATGAGACAATTTCTCTCCCCAAAGAGTCGCAGGAATTTAAAAGGGATAAAATATACCATTAATTTATTAAGGATATCACAGTGGCAAATAGTCATGAAGACTACAAAAAATACTAACGAATGATTAAGCCTACATAATGGGATAAGTACAAAATCAAATAAGATGGATGGCAGAGAATATTAATGAGAATTATTTTAGTCATGAAGTCACAAGCAAATGGTCTGTGGAGGACTATAAACCCTGTTTCAATTACTACATTAGAAAATCTATGATCCCTCACAAAGAATATCACTATTATATGGCCCTATTTGATTCATCAGGGTTGAAGTTTTGAAACAATAGTGATGTTAACTCCTTTAATCCATCTGAAACATATCACTGAGCCCAACTAGGTGCCTGGGGCTGTTCTCAAAACCAATGACAATGCGGTTTGCATTTAACATTTCAACACAAGCTTACAGTTAAATGTTTTTCCCAGACAGATGAATTATTCATGTCCCACATGTAACTTAATTAGCGTCAACCATTGAGAACATGGTTTCAACAGGGTTACCATTGTCCATTTTAGTGTCAGTGTGCTGCTGATGTTGGCTTTAAACACTGGAACATAAAGTAAAAATGAGCAACAAGGACAGGTTGGCTCTGCAGTATAGAAGAGAACTGTTATATGAAACATTCTGTGATGGCTTTAGTCTGAAACCTACAAACCCAAACAGTAGAAAGTTAAGCAAACATACTGTAAGTCTTTAGTGAATTAGCACTTCAAATAGGAAACAATGTCTTCCCAGATCCATTCCACTGTATTCCTTCTACAATATATCAGGCCTTAATTATTACATGAGTCTGACAGGTCTTATGTAGTCATTAATGCCTTTGTGTGGACAAGGTGCTGCTGTATAGTGAAACAGGCTGCACTATCACAGTTGCCTGGTCTGTCCCACCTAAGAGCTCCTTGGAAACTATCCCAACACGGGAGGAGGAAGCAACAGACACCAACGGCTTGACCAAAAAGGAAAAGACATCGAAACCCCTTCCAAGAGCTGGAAGTTCCTAAGAGCCCTTTGTCCCAAAACAGAAAAGGGCATAAACTGTGAGCTTAAGGAACCCGGTCTTGTGTTGTATCAGTTTCACCGAGATCATAACTGACCCAGGCAGGTGCGTAGATGTTCACATATTCAAAGCTCTTATAGCCCTGTGTGACAGGCCTGTGGGTCCCCAGGATCCCAAAGCCAGACCGCTGCACTCCTCTCTGTTTGAAAGTGTGCTCCTGTTAGCAGGTGTGTGAGTCGGCCAGCCACAGGACGAGAGACAGCCCGCCCAGGAGCTCCCTCAGCAGGCCGGAGGGAGGAGGGGAGGGTCTGGGCGGGATGCTCAAGGTGTTGACCAGTGGAAGATGAGGGCAGAAAGGCGGCACAATGAGCCGCAGAAGGGTGGCTAAGACAGCAGCGTGGGGTCTGAAATTCTGCAGAACGGATAAAGGGCACTGCCGCGTGGCGATCTACTCCGGCCCCTCTCACCCTGTCAGTCTGGTGCGCTTTTCAGTTAACGGTCACCCGCAGAGCCGACTCAAAAGGCTTCCCTGAGGACTGCCACTGTCCATGGCCTCAGACCGCCAGCCAGGCGCGTACAATGGTCTCAGAGGCGTGCTCAAGTCTCCCCTGGAGTGCCAGACAAAATCTTTACTGCGGTAAAGGTTGATGCACGCTTCCATCTGAACAAAGCAAACGCATTCATTATCTACTTTTCCATGTCAGACCATAAAAGTCAATAAATTAAAGCCTTTCCTGTATTTAAGTTACACATTTTCACTAAATGCTCACTGGCAAGCAATGATTTTGCGAGAGTCTAAGAACCCCCTCTTCTACACCGATGGCCTGACTGATTTACTGCGCAGTATTTGTCCCCTGATTGAAGCTGGTGTGTTACAATAACACAAGTTCACTTTTCATTTTTATGACCCTAATTCAAATGACGAGTGACAGGCCCTTCCTCAGATTAATGAGATTGTCAGATAGAAGGAAGAGCCAACAATAAAAGTGTAGTGCCCTCTCAAGGACTGGTTATAGCACCAGTGTCTGCAAGTAATTTAATTGTACTTAGTAACTCACTGAAAGTCATGATATGCCAGGAATATTCCATCTTATTGCCAGTAAATGCAATTTCATTTTTAGAGGTCATACTTCACTTTTCATTTGCATGTCAAAGCCAAAGAAAATATCCAAAACACTTACACCTCCTAAATTATAATTAAAAGCGTCAATAGTAATTTGCATTTATTAAATTACCTTATACCTGAGCAGATGTGGCAAATCACTTTTTTATGTTTTACAATGCAGCAGGGCCTCCCCTGGGCAAGCTCCCAGGATGTACTGTACCTTCCTCAGTGGATGTAGTGTCCTATTTTCAGATTAATGTTATTGCTGCTAGGAGGTTCACAGGCAAAATAAAGATTTTAACAGCTCCTCAATGTTCTGACTGAAAAAAGGCTTTAAAAGTTTCCCTGAACTGTAATAGGACAGGGAAAAAAGAGTAATAAAGACATATTTAAAAACAGATTACATTCGTCCCCAATAGCCACTGGTTGTTAATCATCTCACTTGTACAGTATAGTACCGGGCCATTCGTTACTTCCTCTGGTTTGTGTGGTTGTTTCAAACAAATACACGTCACACCTTTCAGGTTTGCGTATGACAACAACAATCGCTCCTTGGGCCCTGACCACAGAACTATAGCTCTTCCTTAACCCATGATGCAGCTAAAATTATGACAAACACGACTGGTTGCCCACAAAATTATCGAATGTGTCAAAACGTCAGCCAAAAATCTTGAGAAAACACTTGATATATTCCAGTGGGACATATTAGTCTGATGATAATAGAAACCAGGAATCCTTGTGAATTTTATTTTGAAAGAGTCAATTCAATTTTTGGTTGGCATTTCTTGACAAATCTTGACTATTCTCCACTTGAAGTAAGTTTTAGACTGCCAAGTATCACTTAAAATGGTAAGAGACCTCTTAAACGTATGTTGGTATCAGTCACTGAAAAAAAGGAAACATTAAACAAAGTATGTTGCATAAGGGTACTGTCCAGCACCCCAACAATGCCTCTTGGAGATTCAGTTTCTGATGAGATGAAATGCTGCTTACTTCCTGTAGCTCCACAAACCTAATAGCTGCATGAAACACAGGACTTCTCTGTGCGTTTAATCCTGAATATGTTCTATATGCTTACAGGCGAACTACTGGGGATCATCACACCTTCATCCTTTAAGGATGACACCTACTTGCCTGGCCAGGCATCACCTGGGAATCCCCCAGGAGGAGGAGCTGGGACCTGTAGCAGAGGTGGCATCCGGAGACACATGGTCCTCACCATGGTCACCATGTGGTCAGTGGCATCACCCAACATCTCACCCAGACAGGCAACACGGAATGAAAGGGTGAACTGATGACTAGCTTCTTGTGCAATAGGAACTGTGTGTGAATGAGATCCTTAGTCATGTACTTAACTCGGGGATTAAAGAACATTCCAAAATTATATTCATGGAGTGAAAACCTATTTCAAAGTCTGACCTATACCAAGCAATTTGCATCCCTAAAATAATGAGAGAGATTGCGCATTTCAAATGATCTGTTGCAAATATCTACTCATTAATAGGAACTGGGCCTGGAAATATGTCCATGCCAAAGACAGAGGGGAAAAAGTCAAATATGCCTGTCCTGCAGTCCTGATGTTAACATTCAAAACTGAAGTTTAGCCTGCTTTAAACTGCCGAACAGCTAATGCAGATATACTGTAGACACTCATCGCTTCCTTCGGAATATAATTAATTAGATTAATTAATTTCCGCTCTTCTTCAGTTCAGTCAATCCAAAGACTTAACAAGAAAAAAAATTATAAAGTGACAAGGGTTGCTCATTATCCTGCCTGTACATAACAGCTCAGTAATTAACCTGAATTGAGGATTACTTTGCTTATATTTATTTCCAGTTCTTCAAACTATAAGTGAAGGAGCACAAAATACAAAAAGATCCTACAACAGCTGTAATTACACTTGCGGCTCTACTCTAGTAACAGTTAACTGAATATTTCTTCCTCGTACAAAATGTCTTCAGTATTTGTTACCTGAGGAGTTTATTATTTTAAGGCAAGGAGCAAGAATGAGTCTCTACACCTGCCTGACAAAAGCAGGAAGGAGATCAGAATCCTAAATACTCCTATGACCATGGTGGAGAGGGGGGAAGAAAAAAAAGTTTAATTAAAGAAAAAGAAATCAAATAAAAAAAAAACTCAATGTTTAGTCTCCATGCTAAAAACAAAAAGGGACTGAAACTGAAAGCCGAAGTCGAATATGTTTAACAATGAACTCACCAACAGTGAGCTGTCCTGTAAGCTGCCCAAGGTCATTCCGTGCATTCACAGTCACATTCCTGTCAGACTGCAAGATCAGTGGGCTGTCCTGAGGAAGAAGAGACACAAGGAAGGAAAAATAACGGGGGGGGGGAGGATAGAGAAGAGACAGAGATAAGCAAATTCATTAAATTCAATACCATGGCCAGCTATTCAAACACGCCTCACCTTTAATGCACCAGATAACAGTGAATGTAGCAGACCATGTCCCCCTTTATCATAATGTGTGTGTTGGTGTGTCTCGGATGTGAAAACAAATACAGTAATGGATTAAACACACAATGTCCTGCATGACTGTATCGCCGCGATTAGTTATAGTAGTGATGGATAAAAACAGGAGGCAGCAGACTAACCCAATGCCTGAAAGGTTGAAAGGTATCATGGGATTCTGCCTAAAATGGTGCTTAAATGGCGTTTCACTGAACATGAGGTGAAACACTACCGGATCGCCTACTGTAGAAGTGCTTTTTTCTCTGTCTGGAAGGGATGTCAGTAGTGAAAGAAGCCACTTGGAATGTCAGGTGTAATCACACTCTCATCGGTTTGACTATTTTTACAACATCCTGCTTCTAGAAAGAACCATGGCCCGTTTCTGCTCAGCACCTGAAGCCGAACTTTCAGGCAGGTGAAAGGTGAAGCATCTATAAAGAGATCTGGTTTAGTGTCTGTTGTTCATCATACTCCATACTGCATTGTATCCTGGGGTGTTTCTTCCTGCTCTGTACCCTGTCACGCATTTTGCTGGGATTATGCAACTCCTAACTTGTCTCCAATAAAACTATTCACAACAAGCTACTGTACAAGACAGCAAGACAGCAGCCAAAACAAACACCTGCTATAATACCCAATATGAGTTTGAAAATGAATGATGCATTTGAATGAGCTTTCTTTGAACAGTGTGATGTAACAGCTTTCTTAACGACTTGCTCATTTGAGAAGCTTGCGGTATGTTCTACAAGCTTGTATAGAGTTTTATTTTTACTCCAGCATCTGTTAGTACTGTCGATTGGGTTCTTTCAAAATACTGTACATTGAAACTCCAAAGACAGAGGTCATTGCAATACTAAAGATAATGTCATATAAGTGAATTAATTTCTTCATCTCGTTCATGACATCCTGATAGTCAGTGCACTTCAACAAGGCAAGGAATTTTATCTCTTCATACCGTAAGCTAGTATCTATCACCTTCCTGTATCTTACATTTTATGTAGGATACAGTATTAAGAATCCTCATAACACTGATGAGAACCGGGTACTGTACAAGAAAGTGTGCAGCATCATACATTTCATTATTATATTGATTTAACAAAAAAAGGCATTAATAGCAAATATTACTGTGCTATTCCATGACAAAACCAAGCAAGCCCAGGCTAAAAATCAGAGACTACAGTAGCACTTGTACTGTACATCAAAAACATGGATTTACTAAAATGACACCGAGACTCACTATGAACAACTATGTGTTTATTTAGGTAAAAATAATTTTGAATGGCACAAACAATGTGCTAAAGTATTTTTAAAGCACTCTGCAATTCAGGAGTTTCAATAAGACATATACAGTATACAAGTATAAGCTCTTCAGCAGAACTACAACAAAGTTTAATTATTTGGAATGAAAAGGTTTCCCTCATGAGAGCTAACCACAGAATATGTCTTCAGGAAATACAACTAATGTACTTTTAAGTTGTCCTGTCATTATTCATACACTTTTTATCTTACAATATACAAAATAATGACAGAGTTGTGAAACTAATGAAAGATGGTACAGATTTTATACGAAGAGGAAACATCCTGTAAACTGGTTATCTCCTGAACATTTTTTTTTAACATTGGGCCCGACTGTTGTAGGATTATTTTTATTTTTTATTCATTTAAAATAAAGTTTTGCAAAGCAATTCTACATGTAATTTAGAATTTGTAGAGAGCAACAGCAAAGGCACCTGTGCTCATGATTGCTAGTGTAAATGACCCCCTGGGTGAGTTTCCCAAAAGCACCGCAGCGCTAAGAACATCATAAACTCGATCTTAAGATCGATCGTTAATTTACGAGTGTTTCCTAAAACCCATCGAAACTAAAGTAGCACGTTAAATCCTTAGTAATCTGTTACTCACCAAGTGCTTCCTAACTTGGCTACCTCAGAGGTCGCCAGACAAAGCACATTAAATTCACGTCATGACAGTTCTCTGGAAAATTCAGAAAACTAAGGTTTTATAAAACTGATTTTGATATTTTGTTGTACTAAGAGAAATTTGGAAAAAGAACATGTATTTATTGTAGTGCAATGCAGGGAGTGTCTGGTCTGGGGGGGGAGGGGACGCGTTGCCGTGGAAACCACACCTGACGTGAATCAGTGAATGAACGGCAGGTGTAGAAGTGGTTTAAAGGGGGAAAGATGCAGCAGGACCTCGCCCTTGCAGGGGCTGCAGTGGTGAGAGGAGAAAAGTGGAGGTTCTGCTGTGAGAGAGAGCCGGGAGTGAGACGCTACTAGTCGGGGCGGTGTTAGAAGGGCGTACCGCCGTGTACAGTATGAGTGAGCAAAGACTTGAATGGGCGCTGTAGAAACCCCGTGAGGGGCTGGAGAAAAGAGTGGAAACGTCAGTCTGTGAGGAGACTGACCAGAGACGGAGCCTTACGAGATCGTTGAAAGGTTTAAAGGGACAGCATACATTGGCCGCTTGGGTCAGTGGAGATGTCCTTTAACTCAGCCAGCAAGTTCCCTGTTGCATGATGCTGGAGACCCGGGCTCGATCCCTGTGGTGGAGGGACAAACTGGGGTGGGAGCGGCGAGGGCATGTGCCCAGAGAACCCCCCCCCAATCAGTTGCAATACATTTAAGTTTAAAAAACATACCAAGATTTATACTCGACTAGATGATGATTTTCATGATGAAATGCAGTAATGCATTAAGTTCGAATACCGTTTTACGTACCGTCGTGATTGTTGAGGGTAATGCTTAGATCTACTGTACTTGTTTTTAAATTTGGTTATAGGTCCTGTATTTGTTGAATAACGCATGCCAAGCTTAGTAGTTAACTTTTCCGGATGTCATAAGACCAATTAAAATGTAGTTCCAGTACAACCAATAACTATAAATAACAGCAGTATTGTCTCATGAAACACTGTGATTCTTAACAATGGCTGCGTGCCAAAACATTCTTGCTTTAAATCACAAACGCAGAGGCAGACGCATACATCGTCCACGCAGTGAGTCGTGGCTTTATTTTAGGGCATGTCTGTCATTTTATTTTATTTTCTCTTGGAAACAATGGGTGTCCGATTTTGTGCCTATCTACTGTATATGCTTTGCCACGATTGGTTGTTAAATTATGATGCCATATTCCTTTTCGCAACTTTATTTCCTTCCACCGAAGGACCAAAAACGACACCAGATAATGAAAGTATTGACAATCGATTGTTTCAATCGACCTGTGTTGCTTTTTGCTAAGTGACAGCAAAGGAGTACTTGATACTCGCTTGTAAAATGACCGATTTTGGAGGGGTTTTGGGGAACACTCGAAAAAGTTGCACGTACTGTACTGTACGAGTTGCTCGTTAATCTCCAAGATTCATCGCTTTAGGGGAAACTCGCCCCCTATGTGATGTCCAGTGGAGATCTATTGGGTCAACAATCACTCACTCTGTTCTCTGTATCCCAGCCCCAAGCCCTGAAAAAATAACTAATGCAGATGATCACCTCGCCTAATTCAGTTACCTTCTTGACAAACAACTTACCTCTGAAAATGGACAGAAAAACCTGCTTTAGGTGAAATCGCATCTTTTATTAATCACAATACTAGTTCCTCTCAGTGATGCATCCCTGATCACCCCAAGAGGATGAATCCCCACTGCTCCTCTTGCTTACCGTAAATGTCACTTCTTATGCTGTAGAACTGGGGTATCGCTGTAGCCCAGCAATTACGGAAGGCACATTATGCTCGCTTTAGGTTTCCCAGGTAGTTACCAAAGCACTCAAATGATTAATCCTGCAAGAAACCGATGGCCATGTTTCAGAAGGTGGCTTTTTATAGTGCTCTGAGTACAATTCAGTGGAGGGGTCAGCCTTTTCATCTCAAAGACAAATTAGAGCATCAGCAGTCCTGCTAAGAGAGACGTCATCCATTTGTCCTGTAAATAGCACAGGCTACAGACCGTTGCATGGCTGGCTGATGCTGTATTCTGTGCAAAGAAATACTTGTAATAGCTGTATGCATGAATCACTATTTTTAATATATATTTTTAAGATGTCTGTCATATCTTCTGCATGCACTTCTACAGCTTTCTATGCTAGTTGTAAGTGGGTTTAGGCAACTATACCTGTTTTCGATAAATCAGTTTTAAACGTAGTTTACAAATGGTTTAAAGTCAGAGCACACACAGATCTAACTACAAGAATACATTGCTGGATTTATGAAATGTTATCCCTTTTTATTATTAAGTTAAACATACCATAATAGAGTTTTTTAAGATGTGTGCAGGGACGCAAATTACTTAAGAAGCTTTGCTTAGATTGTCCTGGATTCAAGGCTAAACAATCATATAATGGTAGATTTTCTAAAATGAACAACCAGTTTACTCAGTAAGTAATTTCAGTCCACAGACTGGGGATTACTGTTCCCTGTTAGCTTGCCTGCTGATTTTAAATAGATAACTAAACATGGAGTTTAATGTGATGAGAATTTAAGGATTAACATGGAGGTGTATAGATACAGTAAATATAGTTTAGGACAATTTTCTGTCATTAATATTAAGGTTTTACACCCATTTGTTTTGCATCAGAAAATGAACAGTAACAGTGTAGTGCCCCCATTTACATGATTATCCTGATGTTAAGCTACAATGTTGGTCAATTTGCAGGGCAATGGATTCTACCTAGTGTTTGCTTATGCAAGAGAAAAAATTTTTTTTTTTCTATTATATACAATATTTGCATTTAACATATGCAGGATCCACGATATCCATGTAAAACAGGAAAAGTGACTTTGAATATGAAATGGTTTGTAGTTATGTAATGGACCTTAGTGCGGTTCAAACTCTAAATGCCAAATTGA